CTAGGGATATTACTATCCCTATGCCAACTGGTTTTCATCAGTTTATTTTTTTGGTTGGAGTTTATAGAGTACAAATACCCTTTTGAAATACGTTTGATGAGATTTGACAAATTATACATTTGTGTAACCATCACCACAGTCAAGATATAGAACATTTCCCTCATCCAAATAGTTCCTATGCTAGCCCAACTTTTAAGATACTATAATCATTTGGGGGATTTCTGGACCATGTAGGTAGTAGGAGGTATACATGTGAAGCTCTGAACTCCATGAGGCTTGAGTCTAGATTATAACTCTTCCAAAGAGATTTTCTTTTAAACTCTGAATCCAGTTGAAGGCAGACGATCTTTCTTGTTATCTTCCTGTTGGCTGCTAGGAAGACTTTCCCCCTAACCCAGCCTTTCAGTGTGGTGTAGCTCTTTGACACACTGACATTTTGTAGGTGTCTTAGTGACATCTTCCTGCTTTGTATGGACCCAGGACCTCAAAATCCTGTCCCTGATGGGCATTAAACTAAAATGTCGTGGTTGAGAAGACCTATAATGTTGCTGTTTCAGTTTCAGCTGCCAGATTACTACTCTAGTTTATAGTGTTCCGCCCCTCTTTTTTGATTCATGCATTTTATTGAAGTATAACATATATATAGAAAAGCACACAGGTCATAAATATGTAGATTAATGTCTTTTCAAAAGTGAACATACTTATGTAACAAGTACCCAGATAAAGAAAAAGAATATTACCAGAAATCTCCTAGTATCCTTTCCAAACACCATCTCTATCCAAGGAGAACCATTATTCTGACTCTTAACAACATATATTAATTTTGCCTACTTTTGAATTTTATATAAATGCAATCATACAGCATATATTCTTTTTTGAGGCTAGCTTCCTTTGCTTATCATTATCTTTGTGAAGCTCACTCATATTGCTTCATGTAGTTGTAGTTCATTGTCACTGCTCTATGTTATTTTATTGTATGAATATAACTGGATTTATACTGTAGGTGGACATTTGGGCTTTTTCCAGTTTTCCTCTTCGCTTTTAGAGCCTGGGATTTCTCTTTACTTTCTTTCAAGCTCTGATGTGTATTTAGTAAGATTTAAAAAGCATTTCCTGGTCAGTAATTCTGTATGATCCGTGTCAAGACATGTTTTAGGTTTTGTGGACTGCCAAATCTTCAGACATGTAAGTTATATATTTCATTTTTCCTGTCAGTCTTAATTTCCTAAGTTCTTGATTCTCATCTGATTTACTTGAGCTGATGATATTTCTTTAGATTGCCATTTGCAGAAATGGTTTTGATTCCTGTAAACAAATAACGAGTGAACACAAATGGGAGGACAGAGTTGAGATATGTAATTAATCTCATAGCCTTGATCTCTTGCCTGGGTCCAAGGCTAGTTGGACATTAATAAGTGTAAATGATTTAAAAGGCATGTTAAAGAAGTGAGGTGGCTGAAGACAAGCAATTGTGAGACCTGGATGTGGTTGTTTGGGTCCAGGGTCTCTTGGCTAGTTGACATTGGGCATTTGAAATGAGAGGGAGCCTCTCTTAATGGCCCAGATGAATGTTATCCAGGTGTTTCTAGAAGAGTCACTCCAAAGTGGGCCTGCTTTTGCCCTGCAAAAGTAAATTTTCTAGTTCAGTGTTTCTCAAATGTGGGTAATTTTGCCTCTCATGGGGATATTTTGCAATGCCTGGAGACATTTCTGGTTGGCATGCTACTGGTATGAGACTGGGAATGCTGCTAAACATCTAGGTAGAGACTGGGAATGCTGCTAAACATCTTACAATGCACAGGAGACCCCCCTCCGCTAATGAAGCATTTTCCAGCTCCAAGTGTCAATAGTGCCAAGGGTAAGAAACCCTGTACTAGACCAAAGGAATAGACTCAGCCTCTAAATCAACCACTATTTAAGTAAACACTATCAACTGCCTTTCAAGAAATGATACCACCACCCTGGCACATTCTTCTACGATACTATACAAATTCTGACATTCCGTGGTAACCAGCCCATACTTGGCTCGCTCCAATTCTTTTAACAACTGTGATGGTGGGTTCTGTAACTACCAAATCCACTCAGAGTTTGAATGAAATCACTTGTACCTGACATTAACATACCGAGATATGTATAGCAATTTATTTATAGCCATTAAAAATTAAACATGTAATTGACTACACTTCAATTAAAAAAATTCATCATGATGATCATAGAGTAACAAAAAATTAAACAACAAAATTTTCCTATGATATATACCTTTATTTTAACTTTACTATTGGAAGTTCCAAGGCAATAGAGTAAATCAGCTGAATGAATGGCATTAGACAAAATGATTTTGATGCTGTACTTTGCAATCAGACTACAGGTATTCTTTTCCTTTGTTATTATAGTTTTGCAGCTTGAGTTTAGGCCAAAGAGGGTAAATTTCATTATTTCTCCAATGGAAGTGATGATCCAAATTTGTCTCTTCTTCCTCTAGGCAGCTTATACTACCATTTATTCTTCTGATTCATTTCCCCCAGAAAGCTGAGAAGTTTTATGATGAAGTTATTGGTCTTGTAACTGGTGTTTCTATTGTAATGCTATTACTGAACCAATGTTGTGATAAATGGTCTGTTTATAAGGGGAATCACTTTTACAAGAAGTAGAAAATTAGACACGCTTCTGCTTTGCAATAACAATAAAAACCGTAGTGAAAAAATATTCTCCAGTTTATTCCCATCTGTATCAGCAGGGAAGCTTTAGAAGATGGCTTTCCCCCTAAACTCTTCTAAACACTGTTATTGCCTACGAGTACCATGTCGAAATGCAGTTTTCCTCCAAATCCTATTCAAGACCAATCCATTTTAATTTACCAGAACGTGGGCCCTTTAAGAAAGTCAGGCACTTTAAACCCCACCCATCTGCTGACTTGTAAGTCCTCTTTGAGGCGGTAAGTTGGTGATAAAGCTAGGAGAGAAGCCAACTTGCCCCCTGGTTTGCTTGGAAGGACTATTTCTATCGAAGTGAGCTCTAAAAGTGGAAGGTTTAAGATACAATGGGATACAGAACAATAGAAACTTGTGCAGTGTGGAAGCCAGACTGGCTCTTAAGATTCTATCACGGTGCTGGATAAAGTGAAAAGAATGCTGTTAAGTTTGAGTTTCCCCCTGTGGCACGACTCCCTGCTAGCTTTACTCCTCCATTTCACCTAGCAAGTGAGATTTCCAGAAACTGTTTCCAGTTTAATGAGCTCCTTGTCTGAGGTAGCAGATTCCCATAAGGAAAAGTCAGGGAGAGAAGTAAGTTTCAGTGAAAATTAAACTGGATCACTTCTAACAAAATTATTTACATTGGCTATGTATTTCTGAGGAGCAAAGCCAACTCTTTTTCCCTGCCACACCAACAATGACTAAGTTCAGAAATCCACTAGCACTAAACTAGAAAATAATTATGAGAAATTTGGGGTTTAATTGCAGTGGGCATTTTGGAGCTGTCTGCTAGAAGCAGCCATGTTGGTAAATGATAATGTCGTTTGAAGCACTTGGATTTTTAGTTTATTCTGAGGTACCGGTTTCCATTAGCCACTGAATCATTAGGTCAAATTTAGATTTAAAGATAATGGAGGTGTTGGAATAAAAGTCATTAAAGCCACCTCTTTATCCTTCCTAACATATAAACTTTCTCAAAAACTCAAAGCAAAGGAAAAATTTTTACATCCTCCCCCCCTTTTTGTTTTTATCTGTTTGTTCTTCCGTTGACTAAGCTTGGATAATAGAACAGGTCTGGTCAGTTTCATTTTCTGATTTTTATACATAAGTGAAAGCTGTTTTCTGTCAACAGAGTGAAGTGTTTAGAATCATTTCACCTGCTGGGTCAATTTCCTGTAAGTCTTTGTTTGGGAAGGGAGAGGGGAAATACCAGTTGTGATTTTGAATCAAAAGTTCAAAACCAGAACCCCGGATTAGGCCACATTAGAATAATTAATTTGTTTTATTTTTGACTTATTTAAGTTTTCTAGGCGTGGGCAAGATAATAGTAAAGAATGATGGTTATGTTGTGTTCTCACTCAATCATCACTATTCGTGTAGCATAATGCTGTCTGCAGTTACCTTGGGAAACTGGCCTTTAAAGAGATGTTTTAATCCACAAAAAGTGTTTCTCTATCTTTTCTTTTTGGATTACATAAATGTTACTGTCCTGATCCTATTGCGAGACAGGTCCTGGCACTGTCTGCAAGATGCAGAGAGAAAAAGAAAAAAAAGTTGCACCTTGTTTAAACAATTGGGCGCTGTGTGGTTTATGAGATTATTAGGAGGAGGAGTAAAGAGGGCGGTGTGTCTCTTCTGCAAATTTTTTCTTAACGAGGTTAACCTGTGGCCGCTGTCTCATCGCCCCACTCGGCTCCTTGCAGGGGAACTTTCTGTTCTGTGAGCGCTATCCAAAGGTTCCCAGTCAAGCTCACCGATATTAAACTAAAAGGGCTGCGTGTATGTTTGAAACAGACAGAGGGAGACAGGAGCATACACAGTTGGCGGAAGATGGGGCCACGACTCGGGCAGGGCTGGATGTTGGAGCCAGGCTGACCTTTCCACGTGTCCCCAGCACCTGCGAGGCTAGTGGGGCATTAGGTTTCTTTTTCCCAGGAGCGGGAGCGAGCCCGGAAGAGGCTGGGCGGTCGGGGGCTTAGGTC